TTAAGAGTTTCGCTGGAACCTCCTTAAAAACAATTGAACGTTTATCTCACAAGCCTTGTTTTAGTTCTAGAAGTAATTTTTTTCAAAAAAATTTAATTGCTGGTTTGAGTGGCAAAATCGCACGACAGAGATTTTTTTTAAAAACTAGTAGGTTATTTCAAATATCATCAAAAATAATGGATTAAAATTTTGGACCATTTGCTGAGGCCGTTTAGTGAATAACTTGATTTTTATATGATTTTTCATGCTTTTAGTATACCTACATAGCGATAAAGTTATTCTCAAATTCTTAGACTTTATCGAATTTGAATAAAATATCTTGTATTATTATTTTTATTATTCTTTGAAAATATTTTACTTATAATTAATGTTAGTAAACAATAACTACTGTGGAATTTATTGATCATCTGTTAAATTATATAGGTTGAGAACCACAGTCAAGGGACTTAATAGCACCGACACGATGGTCAAGACAAAATTTATGCATTTTTTTTCTTCTACTAAACCACGAAAAATTCCACGAGATCAATATTTTTTTGCGTACTTAATAACGGTTGTCACATACAACATGTAGAGTAACAAGCTCTAGACCCTAAATCCGTATTATGATTTCTAAATTTATCTAATGATACGCACAGACAAAGAATATAGAAATATGACACCGATACGTGTGCACGAAGAGCCCGAATTATGTAATACAGCTATATTATTAAAAATTTAAGTATTTTATACAAACTAAGTACAAGATTTCGTTAAAACCTCAAACGCTTTTAATGATGCTATAGTTATCCGCGGTTAAATTTGATTTTGAATAAAGTTATGAGTGTCACAACCATTTATTTGTAGAACTGACGGAACTATTCAAAGTGTCTCTTCATACACATGGCAACGTGGAGCTTTCAAGAGCACACGTTTAAAAATACTTTAAGCGAGTTCTTGCGAGAAAATTTTCGTTACCAAAATGCTGCTTTGCAGAGAGTTTAGTGCGGGGACGAAATATCAGGCTTCCCGCGATTGCCCGAATTGTTAAACGTATGAAGCAAAAGTTATTTCACCAGCGATCAATTATAGGTCGGTCCAATAAAGTGGGTTTCATGTCTTCTCGGGCGATATTAAAGAATGGAAAAATGGAAAATTGTACGGGCAAGTCGTGCGAGCGTTTTCATGCAGAAACGATTGTATTTTGACGTCGTAATACCGATATTGTATTTAGATGAGGTACAAAATGCATGTGCGTAAATTATTCGTGGAATATACCGTAATGGCAAAAATCAATTAGTATTCGCATAGCTTATATTGTTGAAGCGATAGCTCCCAGACGTTTGTCGTGTTTTTCCTCGTATTAAATTTATATTTATGTAATGTTTGGTGTGTACGTGAGTACATCCAAGTTGATGTGGTATACGCGCGACTTGAGCTTTAATCAAAGAAAGACGTACGCGAGACAGACTGGCTGATGTAATCTTTTAAATTTGAGATCAGTGAGCGTATACGAGCGATTCCCCAAAAAAAAAAAAAAAAAACCTTTATGGATGATTAAAAAAAAAGTTTTAGTTTGGTTTTTCAATAACTAATCATTTTCATTGTAGTTGAATTTTTTTTGTAGTTGAATGTCATGAGTGAAAAAACCCTCGGAAAGATCTAATTACCTTTAACAGCTTATGCAACACGCTTTTCTTGGCCAAGTTTAATAGTACATGACGCAAATAGGCGTGTATTATCGATAAACGGACGATCTGAGGCTTCTCACTTCCAGCCGTGCAATACATGATTTTTCATGCCTCACAGTGACTGGGAATATTCGCGGTAACTTTTCTCAGCAGTTAACCACATGAGATGTTATAAAATTAGTAGTAAGTTAAAATAAATTTTACGTTAAATTTTTTAAATAAATAAATTATATGACAACATAGATTTACAAGTGATTTAGGCTAAATTTCAAGTCCAAAAGTTGTCAAACTGTGGCAAAATTTTATTAATCGCTTGGAGTTTTCGTAGCCGATATTTTTATCTTCATCATTCTCATTCGATAGCCTAATTGATAAGAGTTATCGGATGTTTTGTTTAAATTCAAGAGAATTCTTAATTTTATTTTTAATTTTTGACTAGCAGCTACTGAAGAAGCTACAATGAAACTGTATCAAACTTGAAATGAAAAAAATATTATTTAAAAATATGCGGCATTTCTTCCCGGGTGTGTAATTATAATTTCCTTTCCTTTCCTAGCAAACATGATAATTGTGGTAAAATACTTTTCTATGAGTAAAGAATGCGAGTTTTCACCTGAGAGGAACGTTGCAATTTCATCCCTGAGATCAGGGGAAGAAACATTGTCTTTCGGTGGGGGGTATGATAAAAAATAATTAACAAAACTATGTTACACTGATTTTTGTGAGTGACAACGATTTTCAAAAACTTGTTAAAATTTTTTTCGGTACCATAAGGCCGGTGATTTACTGTGGAATTATTCGTGTACACACGTACATACATGTACAAATTTACGCAATTTTACTGCTCCGCAGCAATAATTTCCTGCTTGTATCGTATAAGGTTTTACAGACACTGCTACCTATTTGTGTATGTTCGTGTGCGCGTGCGCATGAGCGTTGGAGGGAGTAATATATTTTTATCTCACATCTTTTTTTAAGTAAAACCTATTTTTTATTTTCCATCTTTTCCAGGGGCACGCGAGTCTTTTATGCAAGCCGTAGGTAACCTCAGATGACACGACACTCTATATGTTTTTCGAAAAGAAGCTGTTCGACTTCCAGATATCCGAAATAATCCAGCGATTACTCTAAAATCGCAAGGTCAATTATTTTGCATACTAACCGTGAATCCATCGAAGTATTTCATTTTTGTTGAAGAAAAAAAAAACAAACAAAAAATGTAGTGTGTGCCTGGCGGACACTTGAAGTATTTTGCACTAAATGATTCAGGTTTTTTAAACAAAGCAGTTACATTATACATAAGTGTTGTAATTTTCGATAAATTTTCATCATTTTATTTATTGTACTTGTTATCTCGGGTATCATAACCGGCCTCGATAAAACAAAAAGTGGTGTTGTTGAACGGGAAAAGAGAGGCACGGAAATCTCAGCACTTTAATTGGTATTATTAAAACAACGATTTATTTTTCGAGTTCGAAATAAATATTGCTCAAGAGTTTTTTGTCACGTTTTTTTACTTTTTCGTAACTTTTTTATCTCAAAAATCTCGGATTACCGTTTCGGGAGGGTCATGAACCGTGAAAAAAATTGGTAGCACAAAAATTTGCAATCAATTTTTTTTACGGGTTTTTTTTTTCAAGTGCAAAACAAATAAAAATTTTTTTCGAGCGATTACAACAGAAAAAAATTGATGAAAAAAAAATGAGCGGCTGAGTTTACACAAAACTTTCCGATCTTGCATGAAAATCATAATCAACTACCAGGCGTCAAAGAGAGAAGTATAATTTAAATTATAGAATTTCATTTTAATATACATTCTAAGCTGTAATACGTAGTTAATACAAGTCTTGGACTTAGAATTTTTTCCGTGAATGTAATAAAAAATGATGTATGTATTGTGAAATGATTGTTTGATTATATTCAGACGATTTTTGTTATCGAAAGTGTTAGGATGCAATTAACACGAAGGTGTACAATAAAAAACAGTGTATTTTTAAGAGATTTAAAACATTGTTTTCAAAATTTTCTCCATAAATGCCTCATAAGAAAGTTTGATGTTATAACACGACTTTTTTTTAATTTTATGAATTGTACAACGTTTACGTTTAACACATTGTTAGAAGTTTTAATTTTTTGCTGTTAAGAATGGGTGTTTTTACTGCTTTCTTACGTATAATGATTTATTATAAAGCCCCTGTATGCTGCAATAAAATTTGTTTTTAAATAAATTGCGATTCATGAGGATCTACAATTTTATCTTCCAACTCGGGCCTTTAAAATGTGTTAAAAGTTGTATTGCTTTTTTTTTCTCTACAGAGAACTTCAGTAAAAATGTTCGAGATTAGTTTCCTTTGGTAAATCCTGTCCAAATTATCAGTTTAGATTCTGTACACTCAAATACCCTCTGAATTTGAGTTCAAATCGGATAATAATTATTTGAAATAATCACAATTCTTTGTACGTCAAAAACAGACATTTGTGAAAAATTACATTGTACCTCTAGAGTATTCTTATGTGTTTGTCCTTAATGAAGGAAGCAATTGGAACGAGTCATTTCGCAATATCGACTCGTAATGGCGGTGAAAGTTGGAGTCGGCTTTAACAACGTTAAAGTTATATGTATACATGAGCTATTTTTGTATGTATATGCTGGCTAGATGCTTTTGTCGATACTTTTGTCTTCTCTCTCAAATGTGGCATTGTACCAGTGCACGTGCGTCTCATTTATGTATACATATGAATGCAGTACATGGAAAGTTCCACGGAAAATGCGTATTTACAAGACTCAAATAAAGTGATTTTTTTGAAAAACATCTTCAAGAGATAATTTATTGAATTATTTGGGTCTTACAGTCATACTGAGAGTATGAAAAATTACGAACGCACACAACAAATGATACATCATACTTTTTCAGAATTTTAACAGTTAAACACGGGAAAAATTTCCTAGAAAATATAGTTTACTAATAATCTTATCCGATTCCAGCTGTTACCATAAAAACTTAATCAAAATATGTCAAAAACTTATTTGTACTTGATATTTTTTAAGATGTGATTTTAAATATATATTTTAAATATACCTTTTTTCCACTCTGTTGACCAACATGTACATTAAAATTAAACTCAGGCGAACTTAGAAGAAATAAAAATTCGAGCAAGAAAATATCAAGTAAATATCAAAAAAGTAGGTATATATAAAAAAAAAAAAAAAAAAACACAGCCCAATATTATACTACCAACAAATTCGTGTGCATATCGATTATTGACATACGTAAGACAGTTAATCCTTACAACAGCTAATTTATTTATGAAGTAATTTAAGGTATATACCTGGTTTCGGATTTTCCTTTCATCCACTGGGGTAAAAATGTAGCTTCTCCAATGGACCTGTCAGTCGGACGTGTGGATCCCATTTTGGTCAAACTTTTGTTTATGTAACTTTTGCCTGATCGTTCTTTTATTTAGTAAATACCGTTTTATGTTCAATTTTTCAACTCAATGATTGACACAGACAAGTTTATAAATTTCTTATGACTGAACAGTACTTTAAACAGAATTTATTGATAAATAAATCAGTTGAAGATCGTTGAAAGTTAATAATAATGATGGTAAAGATGATGCAGGATGATACTGTACACTTGAATAATTGTCTCCTGGGCTTTAATACTAAACGTATGTAGTTCCTAGGAGTAAGACCCAGTCACCATTCTAAGGATCTGTAATCAACAAAACAAAGACAATATTTTGAAACAAAAGGGTAACTTGTGTTTTAAATGTAATTTATTACAAAGCAGTGTTTAGTAAAACACATGGCCAACTCATACTGGAAATTTCCTATGTACTACACAGTTGCATCATAGCTACTGATAGTACAAAAACTGTACTTTTCATCCTGCTCTCTATCCAATCACGAATTACACTAGACACACTCATCAACTACAGTATTGATGATAGCAAATCTCGTATTAGTAAATGAACTAACTCAAATGAAAAATCAATCAGCCATTTATACTAATAGTTATGACTATTTTGACATTACCCTTAAACTACTTCATCCAAGTTTCAATCATCACTGGGTGCAAAAAAATGCACTCGCAAATGCAGCTAAGCAATGTAAATCCACTTCTCCCATCCATCACTGCAGTTTCTTTCCTTACATAATTCGAATTTCCTTGTTCATTAAGCAAGAGACAAGAGCTTGTACTTTATTTATATTTCTGTCAGTGAGAGCCAGGGTGCTTCGGAAGAATCATATGTTAACAATCAGCTGTTCGATGGATATACATTACAACTTTGAGTGTCATAATACTTTTTCTTTTCGTTACGCAAGATTATAAAGAATTAAAGGTACACAAACTTAAAATTGTCAAAAAAAATCTCACAAAATATCACACAACGCTATTAAGCAACTTTCTTACAATGAGTGCAACAAAGACAGAGAGAAAATATATATGTGTACAAATTGTGTATAACTCATCCATACATTGTGAACACGACACTACACAATTCTATGAAAGCTATTCTGCTTAATACAATAGGTAATTGTATGCCTATACATATGTGTACCATATATATAATACATCATAAGCGCAAATCGGAGCAGACCAAAATATGGCGGATCAGGTATACGAGGGAAAGCAAAATTAGATTTAATACGTTGATGCTGTTCTTTGGTACAGACGCATACCCAATAGCATAAGTATGTTTTATTATTAAAAGAGTAAGTAGTCATCCCTGGTGGCGTTTACGTTTTGAAATCACTCAACAAAAACACAATAACTGTATATTCGTATGGTACTCACCCGACTCTTTCTGCTGTTTGTGGAATTTTTCAACACCGACCCCATAGTTCACCAGCTGAGACTCGAGTTGTGTTCTTCTTTCGCTTTTATTGTTTTACGTACTTATACGCCAACAAAGAAAGCAATGAAGCTAACGTTTAAGCTGCCCCGTATATGAGCAGAGGTGCCAGAAATTAGTAGTTACAAGTTTACAACTGCACAACTGCAGGGTACGAAATGTACGTGTATGCATGTGACATGCGACGATGCGACTGAACTACGAACGTAAATACTTATACGAATCTACGAATACGATGCGTTTGGACGGTGGGCGCAGTTAACTCACAAGTGGCGCTGTGCTGGTGGATGCAATTGGAACCAAAACCTGTCATCATAAGGTACCTGTCCAAACTTTTAGCGGGGAAAGAGCAAAAATGAATGAGAATATTAATTTGTGATTTATTTGAGTACTTAATATGTTTGTGCCTTTTAATTAAATCCAGCGACTTATTTGGTACTCCCCAGTCCCCACACGACATAAAATCAAGTATTGAATTGAAAAATGATGAAAAAGTATTTGACTGTTGGTAATTGCAATAAGCATATAGTTGCAGCACTAATATATTTAACAACGTATATGTATAGGTTATATGAAAATGTAAACAAAAAGATTAATATATTTAAAAAATACTTTCTCATTATCTCTGGTGGTAATGCAGACATGAAAAATGTTTAGAATAACATGTACTGGTGATGTTTCAAAAAAAAATGGGGAAAACAAAATGTACAAAAGAGATGTACTTAAAAACCATGTATGAAACAATTCCTATAAATAATTTTTGCCATGGTGAGGAGAAAGATTCGAAATATAAATAAAGTTCCCGATTTCCCTTCAGGATTAGTTGATGCTCTACAGTATATATTTCAAAGTCTAGTGGAATGCTGAACCACACCATGATCTAATGAGATAAAAATTTTATTTACATGTAACGTTAATTAAAAATATCTTTTACATATATAATCCAAGAAGTATGGCAGGGAAATTAAAAGCAGGCCTTACAGAAATCGACAGAGATTTTTAAAGACCCGAACTTACAAAAGTTCATATTACCAAAGAAGACGTTACAGACTAATTTTAAATAAAACAATCTATATTTTTCAATTAAGCACAAATCTATACTGTACGTTATCCATACAAATAAAATCCATACGAACGTGTTCAGATTTTGTAATTTAAGCAGAGTGCTCAATGTTAAATCTGATACTTCTTCATCTTTATTACGTATTGGTTTGTCTCGGTCTTCTATATCTGATGCTCTTCAATTAGATTTTCTTGATCACTAATATCAGTAATTTTATTCAAAGTGGGTTCATTTCCTTTCTTAAAATTTTTGTTTAGAATTATGGGAACGTAGGGTCTTCTTTGGGGTAGATTTTTCGACGGAATCGATATACTTTTTATATCATCTTTCGTTGGGTCTTGTGTGAAACTGAAAAGTATAATTATAAATAATGAGAAATAGATAAATGATTCCTTGTTTTAGGTATATGTATTCGTTATTCGTACTTGCTAAATAATCTTCAGGAGTAAAATGTGCGCTACAGACGTAAGTTGATCTCCTGACATTGACGAGTTTGCATTTTTCAATCCATTTGCCACATAACAATTCATTTTTGGGAAGTAAATAATGAAAAATAACATCTTTTTCGGAAGACTTCCTTTCACATTCAGGAACGCTATACTTAATAACCTGCTTTTTGTTTGCTATAACTGCAGATTTATCTAATGTATAATGCGATTTTCAGTGCATCACGCGTTTTTTTTTTACATTTCGAATTATTGATAGGTTTTAGTTACAATTGTACCCAGCATCAGTAGGGCGCCACCTTTCAGTTCAGAGCAAATTATTAAGCAAATTTGCAAATTTTACCAAAAGGAGTACTACTATATCCATAGACATATAAGAAATATAGACTACTCGTAATTATTATTGGGATTGGCCCCATAGCACTAGCGCCACTGCCCTAGGTTAATTTCCATATAATAATAGTATACTATAGTGAGTTTCAAAAACGGTGAGAGAAGGCTCATGACAGTCAGCGTCACTAGCATTTCTATATGTTTACACGTTGTGGCGTGATTTCAAAGTTTCGAGAGAATTCTAATCCTTAAGGCTCTTAAGGGCAGTTCGGAGAAAATTGTAGTTTCCTACCTTATCGGTAAGGTTACTTTGGGTGTTTTCCGCAATCGTCACACCAGCAAGTAATTTAAGGTTGCGCTTTATGTTACCGTCAGGTCGGTAAGTCAACTACCTTGAATTAAACTAGCGCTCTTTTCCGTAATCTGGCCAGTTAAAACAGCAGACGACATGAAAGTCGAGAAAAAAGTAAAGATTTCATCGCTGTTGACTGTCGTCTGCTGTTTTAACTGGCCAGATTACGGAAAAGAGCGCCAGTTTAATTCAAGGTAGTTGACTTACCGACCTGACGGTAACGTAAAGCGCAACCTTAAATTACTTGCTGGTGACAATTGCGGAAAACACCCTTTAACTGCATAGCTTTATAACATTATTTATTAAGCAGCTAGCTATTTTATGGAAAAAAATCGAAGGTGGGTATCTGTCTCTCTTGCACATTACCGAAGGAGACAGATATCCACGTTCGATGTTGTGTCTCCTTCTACTAGCGCTTTATCAGCGCCGTATATAAGAACGAGCAGTCTATATTTCTTGTATGTCTATGCTTATATCTCTCTATGGCTATGGTTATGGTTGCATACACATATACACACACTTTGCCGTCAGCCATAACAAGCACGAGGTTTTCAATATTTGCGTGGTCGTTGGGTTGGAAGTTTTTGTTTGTCCAATAAGTGTAAAAAAATGCCTAAAATCAGGAAAGTGCATAGAAAAAAAAAATTCCGAGCAAACGTTAATCGTAAAAGACTCCGGAACAAATTGAGGAAACTTCCAACTATCGAATGGTGAGGAGTTATACTAATTTCATTCGACACATTTATTTGTATATGTACTTATCACGTTAATTGTTGACTCCAAAAATTTTAGTAAAGAAATCAAGGAGGCATGGTCGGAGAAGTCGTCCATTGCCACAAATTTAACGCAAATGGGCCTAGCCTATGATCCTAACAAAGTCTTGCAAATTCCAAACATAAAAAAACACATGTTACAGTCTGTAACACAGAACAAAATTGATGGAACCGAAGAAAGTGATGGGCTAACAACTAGGAAGAAAAACAGAAAAGTAGTGCCGAGAAAGGCACATGTTGCTAAAATTTTGGAGGAAGAAGCTAATTGGCCAAGGGCCAGGCTGTTTCGTTTACCTAACAACGAAGTTCAGTTTGCTACATACATGATGGACAAATACGGAGACGATTACGAGGTATGTAATAATGTTTATAAAATTGTTTTTTAATGACAAACCATAAAGTTGATTGTTTTTACTCAGGCAATGGCAAGGGATCATAGGAATTACTATCAGTTAACATCATGTCAAATAAGGCGGAAGATTGAAAAGTTTAAGAGTATCCCTGAACAGTATGCCAAGTATTTAGTCGAGAAAGGAGAAATTGTTTTGGATGATCCAACTCCGCTAAAAGAAATCAAACCCCAAGATATTTTAGTGGAGCCAGTAAAAAGTACATCAAAATCAAAGAAATCGAGGAGGAAGAAACAGGCTAATTTACTTGAAGCTGCAAGAGAAGACGAAAACAACGACGAAGTCGATTTCACTACAGTCCAAACACTCAATGACGATGATGAAGTTCTTAATTCAAAAGAGGTACAATCTAATGGAGAAAAGAAACTGAAGTTGTTTTCAGATGATGAAAATATACCAGATGAAAGTGATGGTGAAGTTACTGATGATGATGGCAATTGTTCTGATAGTGATGAAAATACCGATATGGATGAGGGTGGTGATGAAGGTGATATGATAGTCAATATTACAAGAAACAAGTCAAAATCCAAAAGTCACGCATCAAACAGCTTACTAACGAAAATGAGTACTAAAAATATTTCAAAGGATAAAACAAAAAAAATAACCGGCCAACTTAAAACACAATTAATTTCTCGAAAAACCAGTATGAAAAAACAGAAATCTAAGAAATTTAAACTTAAATAAGATAAAAATTGTACAAATAATTTTTTTGTATTTTAGTTTTATTTTATGGGATTATAAAATTACAAGATTTATAAAAATATAAGTTGTACTTTTCTTCCCCCAACTTGTGTAAAATTGTATTGAAAGTCTGCTGAAATCTATGTGATTCGGTGACTTAAATTTTTCACTTATTTATATTTACTGACTAGAATATAACTTTTCAGCTTCCTTAGCTAGATCGGTGATTTTGTTCGAAGCTTTAATACAATATTTTTCTATATAATTTCTGCTGTTTGATTCAGTCTCATCTAAAAAATATCTGTAAAGTAAATCTTGGCTTAGTCACCAATTGTCAATTGCTTGTAAGATTTAATAGTTTTTTTTCACCTGTAATTAATCATAATTCCACAGCTTTGTGCCATTCCTCGTGGCGAAGGATCTGCCATCCAATTCAGTCTCCACATTACAGCTCCATTACGTAAATGGAAATTAGCTGAAAAATTTCAGCAAGAAAAGTTACCTTTGGACTTATACTGACATGAAGTTTATTAGATACTCACCCACATTATTCAATGCGTAGTTTCGCCGTTTTTCTTGGTACAAGTACCACGCACAAGATCTTAACAACGGTTCTTTTAGAGAAGCTGCCAACTTTGTGTCATTTACCCAAAGAGAAGTATTAAATGCCTTTTTCAAGTTTAGGTACAAATTATTCATACAACGTATCTGACTGTTATTCAAATCAGCTGTTATGGTTTCTTGCTCCGTTTTTGTGAATACTTGGTTTATGTCTCTTTTCATTCTATCTAGAAGCCATACTCTGAAATTCGGTATAGGCGACAAGGTTGAAAATTTTTCTATTCCTGGAAACTCTACAGTTATATGCTTTGCCACTTCTTTTATTAAATAATTTCCTAATTCGATCCCCTTCAAATTAAAATGGTGGGTGAATTTCTTACTTCAGAAATTTTATGCATTAAAATATTTACTTGCAAGCCAATTTGGGTAGAAGCTATTGAATAGAAAATAGCAGCTTTGATTTTGGACTTATCTTCGTCCACCCTCTCTTGATTGCTTAGAACTCTGCCAACAATCCGATTTTCTGCTTCTTGGATTCCTTTGACAGAATCTGAAAGCCATTAATTTCTATTTATGAAAATTGTATGTCTTATTTCAGTAAAAAGTGGTAAATCAGTTGCACACCAGGAATTGTATCGCTTAGTGCTGTATGTAATACAACTAAAGGTTCCCTCGGCATAGAAGGATGAGTGAAAATAAAACATCTCCTATATGGCCCGACACGTCTCTTGAGGTCAGTCCAGTTTTTCACAGGGTGAATGGCTTCGTAATCAGAAACCTGCAAAAATTGAAAAATCAAATACTTAGCTGTGGAATAAAAAAAATTTTTCAAGTATTACTTTTTGTAGAATATCACAGGACGTCTGCCAAGTAACTCTTTCAGCTTTCATAAAGCCAACTGAAAACCATAAGTATAACAAATCTCTCAGAGTACCATCCATTACACTAAGATTGATAATATCACTGGAGTCTCTGGAAGACTGACTTAGGAGATCCTAAAAATATTGTTTTTGATTAATATATCATATTTTTTTTAAACTAGTCTGGAAGATCGAGTTTATATACCAGAACATTTGCTCTGAAATCAACCAAGAACTTGACACCGCTCTCCAATCTCCCAATGAGTGCAAATAACCAGTGATAAGGGGCTACAAGTGCTTCCTTCAAAGCTTTTTCTCTTGAGATCAGCTGGCTAGGATCGTTTGGCTAAAATACTTTTCAATTAGACAAGCTCAGTTTAATGCAATCATGATCGAGTTTTAGTAAAATTTCGTTGACAAAAAACCTTAGTGCACGCAATTCTTTTTGCGATTTCACATATTTTTTCATGATCAATGGTGTATTTTCTGGCAAGTAGTAGCAAGAATTTTGATCGGTCATCCGTGTTGAGTGCGTTATATCTTTTACAAAGTGAATCTATTTTCGACTGTAAAAAAACCAAACGATTGAAAATACCCTACACCTTTGTAAAAAATCAAAAGTGTTTACACTTGCCTCGATTATCCAACTGCTGTAGTTACTTTTTCTCAAATTAATGATATTTGCAAGTTCTTCGTTAATTTGATTTTCATTCTTTTGTGCACCGGCATTGTCTTCAAATCTTGCAATTACATTGCTGTGAAAGAGATGCAAAGTTGGATGACATCTCAGTAATTTTGGCTGTTGCAGTAGAATTGAAACCAATAGCTTCATTTTCTAAAGGCGCGGAAAATCTTGTCACTTCTTCATGTACACACATGTGTATACCTGTAACATTATTATTTGCAGATGTACAATACACTATCACTTAGCAAACACCTCTCACTTTAGAAATGTTCGAGATTAATTTTTAACATAATGAATAACATAATTTTCCATTTACATAAATAATTTCAATGATACAGCTGATTTTTGTCACCCATACAACTGACACACGAGACAGTAGTTTTTTCGCATTTTTGAGTAAAGACTATTTTTCAAACACTTAATAAAAAGTTAAGTAATTTGACTGACCAGCAGGACGGAAATAAATTATTTTAGAGCACAAGTGAATGGCGAGAGAATAATATTATAAGATGAATATCTCACCTCAGTTATTACCTAAAGTAAGTATATGTGTATATATATATATATACTTATATAGTTAAAGGCCACGATCGCACATTACACGTGCACGCTGCGCAGAAAGGAGCTCCGGATTGGGTAAAAAAAAAAAGTTCCCCACATTACGGAAAAAATCGGCTTTTAGTTGGTTTTCCCAAATGAAATTTTTTATTTGTTCCCGAATTGATAAATAATTAATTCTCTATTATTGGAGGCAAATTGGACATTGATCGCGTGTCTTACACTTTAAATAACTTTCCAAAATTCATACAATTTGTAATTAAAATTGATAAGTATTTCGTCGAGTGCATTTTTTCAAGTGGTAAACATTTATTTATATGAAGTTTTTTCAGCACCTTATTTATTTTATGGATACCATAATACTTTTTGAAAATAAAATTGATTAGAAGCTAGAAAACAATGTAAATACGAATTTTTTAAAATCTGCTGACAATTTCGCATGAAAAATCAGCTCTGCTCATTACGTACTCCATATTCTGGCTGCCAAAAACTGGCCAGAATTTGTGCTCAGTCAGTTACAATTATTGCTACAGGTATATTTTGCTGGATATCTGTGTTGAACGCTTTAATAACACGATACATATAATATATACCACCAGAAATCATGATTTTGTCTTTTATCAAACGATGGATTTTATTATAGTGTTTTGTAACGTTCACACAAGTAACATGTATAGCAGTATTAGCGTATGTTTTTACGCATCAATTTTATGAGGAAATCTACGAAAAATATCCCGTTTTTATTCCCCATTTCAATTAAAAAAATTTTTTAAGCCACACCCTTGAAACCGGGCTCATATCACTCGTAGTGTGGTGTACTATGAGGAAAAAATTTTTAACACGAAGTTCATAGTGAGGGTGACACCCTTTTCCGCGATTTACATGTTAATACTATATCTACATATATTATGTGATAGCTATATATATAATTTCAACATGTAAATCGCGGAAAAAGGGTGTCACCCTCACTAAACCTACGAGTAAAATGAACCCTGTCTCAAAGGTGTGCCACAAAAAAGGTTCCTTTTTTTATTAAAATGGGGGACAAAAACGGGATATTTTTTGTGGATTTCCTCACATACATTAGTTGTTACTTGGAAATTGGCTATTTTTAAAATGAATAGCCCTTTAAAAGGTTGGCAAGAAAAGCCTACCTTTCAATTATTACTTCATGTGCAAAAGTAACGGTGATATCATTGTCACACGTCTTCACATCATTAGTTTACAAATTATTAACGATTACCACCAATCGCACGTAATGAATAATGCGTTTGGTCGAGGAGGAGCTTGAAAACAGTTTTTACTATCTACTAGTACACCTAGCAGAAATCATATTAGCTATAAGTTTTTTTGCAATATCAACGAGCAAATTTGCTTTATTTTACCAACACGTGCTGAATTACTAGCAACATTTTCAAAAATCATCCTTTAGTTGGATTGTCTTTTGACCAGTAAAAGTCAGACCTATATTTTCCACGAGATTTTTCACGGAAAGCAATATACGTACCTGTAGCTGTTGTTGCAGGGGCGGCGGAAGACCTGTGGTGGGTGTTGAGAAATCCACACCTCAGGTCTTTATAACTGTATGTATTGTGTATATATATATATAGTTAGAGCGAGGTTTTGCTCCCCCCCGGCTCCCCCTCCTCCCCCCCCAAATAAGGTAGTTATTCTTTCATTTTCTTGCATTTTTCGAGTAATCCTACTTTTTGGCTAGCTCCCCCCCGCTCCCCCCAGCTCCCCTCCCTACTCCCCCCCCAGCTTCCCCATACATAATGTAAATATATTCGTAAAGCCTTATATATTAACTGTTACAAGTGGTCTAATTTTCACATATAATTTTATTTGACCATAACAAAAAATTTTGTTACAATTATCTTACTTATGATGTTTATTTTGATTACATACTCTAAAATGTCTTTTTAGGTGCTCTGCTCTTACATAACCTTTTCCAAAATTTTGACAAATAATTTTTTCAACGTTTTTTTCATGACTTTTCAAATGTCTTTGTAAGTGATAATTTCTTTTGAAACTTTTTCACATTTAATGCACTTAAAATTTTTTTCAATGTTTTGGCATTCCTTTGTGTGACGCAAATAGTTTTTCTTGTCTAATATTATAATGCTACACAGATCAGATACAAAAAATTTTCTTTGTGAATTTTTTTGTGTGATGATAGACACTCTTGATTTGAAAATTTTGAGTTACATTTGTCACACTGATAAAATTTTGCATCCATGATGGTTTATCTGAAAACATATAACAAAAAACGGATTGTTTATGATTATATAAATCTGGGTACTGAAATTTGCTTTTTTGATAAAAGAGAAAATTTTGCAAGAAAGTATAAAAATAGTAATGAAGTATAGAATAGTTTTTTTGTTACTCTAAAATTTCATTCCAAACAACATTTTTAATTTCAAAGTTGTTTTCTGATTCAATTTGGATGAAAATTTTTTTTGGGTTTCTACATCTAGACAATGCAACATATAATTGCCCATGAAAAAAATAATGGTTTTCTAAGGTATAATCCTAAGGCATCAAAACTTTGACCTTGAGATTTATTGATAGTCATAGAAAAAGCTAAGGTAAATGGAAATTGTTTTCTGTACAATATAAACGGTAGCGAAGAAGAATTGTTTGTTTGTAGTGTTATTCTTGGAATAAAGACTTTATTTCCTTTTTTTTCACCTGTGATCATTTCAGCTTCGATGTTGTATTTAAATAATTTTGTAGTTCATAATCTTGTACCGTTGCGAAGACCTTCAGATATGTTTAAGTTTCGTATTAACATAACAATAGCGTTAATTTTTAAATTCAATTCATGTGGAGGAAGAGCTTCTTTAATACTATTTAAATATTCTGTAGGGAAATTAATATAAATATTATCGTCTGATTTATCTACTCCTTTGTGAGTTGCTTTATCAATACTATAGTACGTTACTAATGTTCCTACCATATTATTTAAAATTTTTTTGTTCAAAAAATGAGTGTATTCATTGTGAGATGTTAATATAGCTT